GTTGAATGTGAAACTGATGATGTGCCCTGTAAACTTTCACTCAATCCACAATAAAAACCTTAAATTAAAAAAATATATAAATAAATAAATAAAAATAAATAAACTGGCTTCTCTTTCAGAGAAAGTATATTTAGCTTTACATAATTTTGCAACATCATTTGGAAAACATTACTTCACCAAGTAATACAGAATTTCTAAATGTTGGCTTATGACAAATAATATCAAATGGTTCCCATTTGTCAATGTCACCACCTCTCATCCAGCTGACAGGAGGCTGCCAAGTTCATGGTGGCAGAAAAGTGTTGTCCGTAGTCCTCATTTCTGCATAAAAGCTTGCATTTTGTCATGGCAGTAAATACTGTTGGTGGTTTTCTGAGGTGACCATATTCATTTGAGAAAATGTCTACACATTGCCTAAGTTTAAACAGCCATTGTTTGTTAGTCGTTCAAACAAAAAAAATTGTCATACATAACTCAATCACATATTTGGATGTGCAGCAAAGACAATAACTGTCCCTCTCATTTTGTCACAGAGCATTCTAAAGAGATGTGTACTCTAGGCCCCAAGCTTATTAAAAATAATTATAGAGGTCTTTTCTTAAAAGCAACACTTAATTTTCTTTTTTTTTAACTTCTAGGTTTTCTCACCATTTCTACGAGCTGAACTTTCTGTACTTATTTACCAATAACTGTGTTTTCATCAGTTAGCAATAGAGAGCCAGCAATTTACTAGAATATAATGTCGAATCTGAAAATGAAAGAGGCAGCTCTTATTTATCTTGACAGAAGTGGAGGCCTCCAAAAATTTGTTGATGATTGCAAGTATTACAATGGTATATTCAGCTAAAGTAACTGCTTTAGAGACTTTAAAGTAAAATCTTACCTATAACTGTACTGACTTACATGTGTGTGTTTCTACAGATTCAAAACAAAGCTACGCTGTCTATCGCTTCAATATTTTAATAAATCCCTCTAATGTTGTTGAATTAGATGCTGAACTTGGAAATTATATTTTACATCAACCTTTGAGAGCTGCTCAAGTTTTTCAATCAGTAAGTTAAGAAAAGAAATAATTTTATGCCATATGGAGTTTTTGGTAACTTTTCTGTTTGTTTATTTTAAATCACAGGTCTGTTTTATTGCTGTTAAGACTCTCTCATTAATTGGACAGTTACAAACTGAAACTCAAGTAAGTTTTAGTTTAACAAAATAAACTGACTTTCAAAATGACTCACAAATAAATGTTTATATATTCATAAATGTAAGGTAAGAACTGAACTGTAAGGTCTGTTTGAACTGTAAGATCAGTGGTTCACACTCAACAGCTGCTCCTCAGAAACCCTATAAAGGGTCTCCATGAGTCAGACCCAACCAACGACACTTAACATTAAAAATTATATTTTTCAAAGTTTAATGGAATATTTTGTATATACATCTTTACTTCCTGTATTATCATTTATAACATTTCCTGTATTATCACTTATAACATTGACTATTTTTATAATGAAACACTTCAAACTTACCCAGAAGTAAAGATAATACCATGAACCTTCATATAACTATCACACAGTTTACAAGATTTTGCTCTACCTGCATCATCAGTCTCAAATCCCAGATATTCTGTCATTTCACCCTTATATACTTCAGAATCTCCTTCAAAAAATTTTTCTTATACCACCATAATACCAATATGGCCCCTTTAAAAATATGAATAGTATAAAAATATCAATCACCTAACATATGAGGAGGCTTAAAATTTTAATGGAAAAAATAATTATCTTTTCATTCAATTTTTCCACAAACTTTTTTAGCCTATTTGTATAGTCCATATTTTAATTTCCAAAGTTGCCTCAAGAGTATCTTCCCAGTTGGTTTGTTCAAAGCAAGAGCCAAACAAAGTCCACACATAATAATTGATTCTGATGTTGCATTACATCTCCTAGTTTAAAGTCATTTCCCTTCCCTTTTTTATATCGCTGACTTTTTGAAGAAATTAGTTGTCCTGTAAAATGTCTCATCATCTGGATTTGTCTGGTTGTTTTGTACTGTCATACTATTTAACTTATTCATGTATTCCCTGTATTTCTATAAAATGGTAGTTGGCTCTAAAGACTTGCTTAGATTCAGGTTCATCACAATTTCATTCTGCACTATATCAAGAAGGCTATATTTACTAATGCCACAAATGATCAGTAGGTTCAGGTGATGTCAACCTTAATCACTTTATTAGACAAAAGTAAGTCTAGTTTAAATTAGTATATATTCTTGAGTGTTTCTGTGTACATCCACCCGTTTCTCCCCCCACTGGCAACAAAACAAAAATAGGGAATGGAAGCAAATACTGTTGAATAAAGATGCACGGAGGAGATTGTAAGCACTGCAATGAAACAATGGTATAAAGCCAATGTTCTCCCTTGAAATTATCACTCATTTCACAATAAAAACTTAAAAAAGGAAAGAAAGAAAAACAGTCTAAACGTACTGCTATAAAACCATAGAAACTTTTATTAAAGAAATATGTGTGGTGCTGTAGAATAAAGCACTGGACCGCAAGCCCAATTTGAACTGCAAGGTCAGTTCAAACTCACCAGGGTCTCCTTGGAAACCCTATATAGGGTCACTATGAGTCAGAACTGACTCAATAGCACTTAACAACAGTGTTCAAAATGTGAACCTGTTGTTTCTCAATATATCCTCCATATAGTCTATACACTTCTGAAGGTGATATTAAGGTCAGTGGTTCAAACCCACCTGTTGCTACGTGGAAACCCTAAAACAGGGATACTATGAGTCGGAACCATCTCAACAGCACTTAACAACAACAACAATAATGCTGTAGGATAGGGAGCACGGTGGCTGTATAAGATAAGCACTAGACTGCAAACCACACGGTCAGCAGTTTGAGTCCACCAGGTGCTCTGTGGGAGAAAGATGAAGCTTTCTGCTCCCTCAAAGATTTAAAGTCTTGGAAATCCTGTACAGGATCGCTATAATTTGGAACTGTCTCAACAGCACTTAACAACAATAATGTTATAGGATTTGTTGTTAAGTGCCGTGGAGTCGGTTCCGACCCATAGCGACCCTGTACAGGGTTTCCAAGGCTGTAAATCTTTATGGGAGCAGAAAGCCTCCTCTTTCTCCCACGGAGCAGCTGGTAGTTTCGAACTGCTGACCTTGCGGTTCACAGCCCGATTCGTAACCACTACGCTACCAG